AAAAAAAAAAAAAAAAAAATATCTAGGCTTCCAATGGTGATTGGGAAATAAAAAAGGGAAGTGTTTCAGTATGTTGAAGAGGTTACTCACTCTAAAATTCTGAACTGTAAAGGTAATTTTGTTAGTGTTGCTGGCAAGGCAACTTTGATAAAGTCAGTCATTAACTCTTTGCATGTATACATCATGTCATGCTTCAAGATCCCAAAAGCTACTTGTGACAACATAAACAGAAAGGCTAGAACTTTTTGGTGGGGAGGAAGAGTTGATGATAGCACAAAAAAGCTGGCTTGGGTAAGTTAGGATAAGATGTGTGCCACTAAAAATCAGGGTAGATTGGGCTTCAAGAACCTTGAAATTTTTAATGTTGCTCTCTTGGCCAAACAGCTGTGGAGGCTTATCACTAAACCTAATTTCTTAATGAGTCAGATTATGAAGGCAAAATATTTCCCAACTGGTGGTGTTCTTAATGCTAAGGAAAAAAATCAAGACTCATGGGTTTGGAAAAGTTGGGCTAAAGCAAGGGAGGCACTGACAGCTGGTTTAAGGATGAAAGTGGGGGATGGTAAGAACATTGGGATTTGGGAATCTCCTTGGGTTCCTAATCTGACTAATTTCAAGCCTACAGGTAAAGCTGGCAGAGTCTCTGAAGTTGAGTGGGTGAGTGATCTGCTTCTGAATAAAAAGGAGGAATGGAATGCCCCACTGATTCAAAAGCTATTCACAGATCAAGAGGCCACTGAAATCCTCAACATTCCTCTTGAGGATACTGCTAACATGGATAGATTCATTTGGGTGGAGGAAAAGAATGGCATATTCTCTGTAAAATCTTGTTATAACTCCATTCTGGACAGGAAGAAAAAGGAGATTACAGTACCTGAAAGCAGCACTTGTGCAGCCATTAAGAGGAAGATGTGGTCTGCCACCTGGAGTCTCCAGGTAAAACCCAAACTCAGAGTATTCATTTGGAGATATATTCATAATTCTCTACCTGTAACTGAGAAGTTGAACATTAAAGGCATCATTTCTTCTTCTTTGTGCTGTTTATGTGGAGAATTTGCTGAAAATCAGACCCATGTTTTTTTCAATTGTGAGAGCACAAAGAGTATGGAAGTTATCTCCTATTCACTGGGATAATACTCAAATAAGATCATATAGTTTTAGTGGATGGTGGTCGGACATCTGTACTGCAAATCAAGGAGAATGTTGGGAAGACAGATTAGAGCTCTCGGTTGATCTTCTATCATGATTATGGAAAACTAAGAATCTGTGGCTATTTGAAAAATCCTTAATTTCTGAATTTGATATGGTGGAGAAACCCAGAGCAGAATGGCTTGAATACAAGAATGTTCATAATTTGGCAGCTTCTCATTTTTTTCTCTTTTGGGACTGTTGTTAACACAGTAGGCCAAATATTGATATTTGTCAGTGCTAGTGTCGTTCCATGTGCTAGCTGTGGCATTGGTTGTATAGCAAAAAGAGCAGATTCTGAAGAGATCTGTAGGGTGTGGCAAAACTCCATTCCATCCTGCAGGGATTTGGAGGAAGTAGTTCTTACTGGTATTCAACAAGCACTTTGGAAAGCTTTCTGTTGGATTGGAGGAGCATTGAGATTGTGATTGATGATGAGGTTATGGTTAGCAAGCTCAATATGTCTGGGGCTTTCAGTGATAACTTGAAGATCATAACCGAAGACATCCTTCATTTGGCTTCTCTTTTTCACTGTAGCTCTTTTGTTTTTGCGCATCACCCTTCTTTGGATAGTTGTTCTAGTCTTGCATTAGATTCAACTACTTCGGCTTGTAACAATGAATGGGTTGATTATTTCCCAAGTTGGATCTAGTTTCTAGATGTAGCTTGGTTCTCTCTTGTGATCAGTGGATCACCATTTTGTACAAAACTTTTCTTTTGTGAGTTATATAGATTCTATCGTTTGGGAAAAAAAAAAAAGAGAATCTGTTCAATTTTTTTAATTGGTGGCAGGTAGTATAGACATATTTGGGTAACACATTAATAATAACTTTTGGTGTTGCTTATCTAAAAATAAATAAATAAATATGCTTTACTACTGTTACATTTTTTAATGACATAGTTATAACAATTCTAAGAGCATCTCCAATGTGACTTTTGACAATATAAAAATTCATCCATATCATCAACTTTTGAAAGTGTGTTACTAAATTGTTCTCCAATGCATCTTGTCATGAGCTCTTTCATGATGAGGTGGATAGCATTTAATGTTGACAATGTTGAGTACACTTTCTAATATCTAATACCATGTTAAACATGATGTCTAATTAATTCACTTTATATTTGATTTAATTTTTATATTTTTCTTGTATTAATGATTATTTTTATTGGTCCACCTATACAAATAACTTCTTATCAAATTGATGCATTGGAGATACAAGTTTGATTCAAATTTTTACTCTTTTAACATCATTCCTACATGGATTAACATTACAATCATTGATTGACATGTGTTCAAAATCATTGACTTTCAAAGCCATAGCATTGGAGATGCTCTAACATCTTTCAAATTCACATTTACCAAATAGATATATTTATAGAATGTAGGAGGCTTTGCAATGGTTAGTTATATTAGATAAAACTTGAAGCAAAAATATATTATTTTTAATTTTAAAAATATTGTTCTAAAATTTGGTTTGAGTTAAACATTAGGTCACCAAATTTTAATACAATTGAGTCCCTTTGCTAAAAAATGAATCTTGACAAAATTTGATTTATGTATACGTTTCAAAATGGAATTGTTCCCACTTTCTTACATTTACAACTGCAATTATAATTTTTTTATTATATGTATGAGGAATAAAAAATAAATAAAAATACCAGTTTAATAAAAATAGCATATCCCCGTACAAATAATTTTTTCATTTTCTTTACACAATCGATTGAGAGATGAAATCGTTTTTTCGAAGCGCCATTTACACCAAACTCTCATTTCCCATTCGCCCCTTAAACCCTAACCCCCACCGCGCCGCCCCACTCGCACTCCTCCTGCGGCCCTCCGCCGGCGGACTCTCCACCCTCAGCTCGATGGCCAGCGACGGGAGTGGTTCCAACGCGCCCCCTTCTCCCACCGCCGCCGCGCTCGAGAAGCAGTTCGAGGTGTTCCGGCATCAGCTCGACGGCTCCGGCGGCCTTCGCGAGCGTATTCGGGGCGTTGCCTCGGAGATTGAGTCCGTCACGAGGATTATCCAGTCGAGCCTTCTGCTTATTCACCAGTCTCGCCCTGTACCTGGTGAATTCCTCTTGTTTTTCAGCTTTATTTTTGCACTATTTTTCTGCTCATTTTGTTTTCAGTTTTCATTTTGTTGTTTGATGTTGCTAAGGTGATAGTTTAGTAGTGCTAACGTTCGTACTATTGGGTTTTATGGGAATCCTTGCTTTGTGAAGTTAATGTTTGTATTCTGCCTTGAAATTTAGAAATTTTGTGGAGCTTTACATTATGGAGAAATAAAATTGTTTCCTTTATCTTGTCTTTCTTTTTGTGGGTTTTTGTTCTGTTTGTTGTGTTTGTTGCTAAAAGCTTATATATTTTAAATAGAGGTTTTGGAGAAGGCCAAGGGACGGATTGGTGAGTTAAGGGAACTATACAGCAAACTTGCCGGGATTATCCAAGAATACCCTGGGCAGTATTACAGGCGAGAAGGAGAATTTGTTGTGCTCGAGGAATTTTTTTGTCTTTTCGAAGCTAAAAATATATCTTTGATTTGTTTGTCTTGTGAAGGTATCATGGTGATTGGAGGACTGAGACTCAAACAGTAGTGTCTTTGCTTGCTTTCATGCATTACTTAGAAACTGAGAGTCTTCTTCTGCACGCGGAGGCTGAAGAAAAACTTGGGTGTAAGTTCTATTTACCCCGAAAAATATTGTGAAATATAGTTAGACACAAATTGTGATTCTTATTATTGTCTTTAAATTGTTGTGAGAAGTCACTGAGCTGATTCTCATCTCTAGGCACTCCCATGGAAAAAGTTTTTTTTCTTATTTGCTTTTATTTTTTTTCCTTTCGTGTGTGTGTGTGTGTGTGTGTGTGTGTGTGTGTTGTGATGTGACTTGGGCAATACAGAAGTTCTTTAAGTGCCTCCTTTCATTTGTTATGTATCCGGTTTTCTACTTTTAGGAAATACAATCTTTTGTGCAGGTTCTGGTTTATGCATGAATCCAATTTTGTTCTGTAATTCTACTTTCAGAATTCATGACATATGTTTTTTCTTCTTAATTACTGTTGGGTGAAATTTGTTTGGCCCTTTTCGGGTGGCTTTGGTATTTCTACACAATCTTGATGTAAATTGCTTGTAACTCATAAAGTATGAATTATACTTCAACTTTTCTGCCTGAGCTAGTATTTTAGTGTTGAATCTTAATTCCTTTGTTTATAACCACTCTTGCTTAATTCTTATTCCTTCTCGTCATATCTGATTTATTGACTCATTAATGTGGGCTTGTATATGAATTTTCTTTTTCCCAAAATATATATACAGTGAACCCCGTGGAGTTTGGTCTCGATGTTGAAGACTATCTAATTGGTAATCATCTGATTTCTGGCTAACATCCCTTTGAAGACTATCTAGTTGAAGACTCATTTGATGCTTTTTAGATTGTGTTTTGATAATGAATCTTTCGTTCTCCTGCAGGAATTTGTTTTATGTCTAATGATTTGGTAAGCATCTTAAAAACCTGTTCCTCTCCACTTCACTCGGCTTTAATACGTGCACTTTACTTTCGAGAAATGCGACACTTGGGTTTTAGAAGTTTCATTATTATATTTCAGAAAATATGTTCCCAAGTGGAAAATGTGAAATTGCAATTAGCTTAATCTTGCGTGAATTTTTCTGTGACCTTATATAATAACTTTGACACTTCCTTATCGAGATATCATCAAATGTCATAACTCCAGGATGAATAGTAATTGAGATGCATTGTATTATATAAATATTATCATCTTTCTTTATGCATTTTGCTTTATATCGAGATTTTTTTTTTTCTTTTTCCCGCAGCCAAGGTATGTTGTCAACCAAGTGACTGCTGGGGATTATGACTGCACAAGAAAAGTACTGAAATTTCTAACTGATCTGCATGCTGCATTTCGCATGCTGAACCTCCGAAACGACTTTCTGCGCAAGAAATTTGATGGTAAAAGCTGGCCCTAGATTAATTTTTTATACTATTTATTCTTGTTATATCTATTATGGGGTTAGTGTTTCGTTAGTACCAATTTAGTTCGAACTAAATCTCTCTCTTTTTTTTTTCTCCCATGTTGCAGGAATGAAGTATGACCTCAGAAGAGTCGAGGAAGTTTATTATGACGTGAAAATAAGAGGATTGGCAGCAAAAGATAACTCAGGTGGGGCTGAAGGAGACGAACAACCATCATCTTGAGTCAAAACGAGATCTTTTGTAGTCTTTTGCACGTCAATTTCGTAAAATCCATTTCACGGGCCTTGCTGGCATCTAATGTTAACATCTTTTAGCAACTTTCTTTCGTGGAGGAAAAACGGGGAATTCGACTGATGTATTTGAGATCCATCCATCTTCTACATAACTCAGATTTGATTGTGAAAGTTGTGAGAACAGATATGTAAATTCCACCCTAGATTGAGGTTTTGGTAAATTGATTGAATTCTGCAGGTCTATATATATGGCTGTCTCCCAGCTTCTAGTTTTCTAACGATTGTTTACTAATCATAAAAATCTGTTGAAATAATCTTTATCTTATGAATAATAAGTGAATCATAAATCTGCTGAAATAATCTTATGAAGCTCAAAATTGCCACTCTCAAATCTCAATCTGATTTAGGAGGTTGAGTTGAAAAAACGGTTAGTTTAAGCAATTTTAGGAAAAAAGTGATTAGATTGTTTGGTAAATTAAAAAATAGTTTTAAGAAAAATGCTATATACATAAAAAATTGAATAATGGGCTTGATTTTTTCCAATTTTTCGGTCGTTCAAGTGACAACTGGTTTCTACTTAGCGTCAACAGATCACCAAAATGTGGCTGTAGTTTAGTGGTTAGAATTCCACGTTGTGGCCGTGGAGACCTGGGCTCGAATCCCAGCAGCCACATAAATTTTTTTATTTTTATCTTTTTTTTTTCAATTTTGAACTTTTTAAAGTAACAAACTTCATTCCGAAATCAAATTGCTTGCATTTTTTCGAAACAAACATAATTAAAATTTGTTACAGCTACATTTGTTTCGTCATCAGTAAAAACACTTTGTGCCAAAAGGTAATATGCAGAATTTATAAATTCAACTAGATGATGTATAAACCAAAAAGAAGAAGAAAAAAGAAAAAAACACTGAGCCAACAACGCCAATCCCATTATGTCATCTTCAGCCCTTATCTCTACTCTAGTGCGGATTTTACTCTACTTTAGAGTAGAGTTGAACATTTATCTCCAGCCCTTATCTCTACATTTTACTCTACATTAAATATATTAATTTTTTATTCAGTTTTTATTTCAAATAAATTGGTATATATGTATATTTAATTTTATATAAAATGTTAATTACTCATATGATATCATTTTAATATTAAAAAATTACAAAATAAAATTAAAATATATCAATAAATAAAAAGCACAAAATTATTTAACATAAAAATTACATTGCACATAATTATGTAGCATAAAAATACATTTATTAATGCACATTGTACAAAAAAATATCACTAATATTACATTAAAAATACAAAAAAAAAAAATAAAAAATCTAGCGCATATGAACAGTGCTGCGCCAACACTATCCATATATCTCATCTAGCCCAAAAAACTAACGCAACATTGGAGACAAAAATCACACTAATCCAGCGTTTTTGCTCCATTGTGGAGCAGCGTTAGAGTGACTCCTACAAGCAACAAAGATTTGCTGCTTACAACTTAAAACCAGCCAATCATTTCTGAAACACAATTGGCACAATCATTTCATTTTGCTTCATTGTGGAGCAGCGTTAGAGTGACTCTTAGACCTTCTCCAACTGGCACCAAAAACTTAAAAAATGGAGTGATTTGCCCCCAACCGATACACAAACAGAAAACGCAAAATGAGTTTTTGTAACTCTCTCTCCTCTTCTACACCATATTTGCGTTTCTACTGTTCCAAAACGCAAAAACTTTTTTAATTACAAGTTGGTCTTTTTTATTTTGTAGGGTGTTATTTATATACTCTTTATTTATATTGTTTAGTTGTATGACCAACATTTGATTTTTACTGTACTTTATTTTTGTCTTCATTATATGTTTTTAAATTTTAAAACTTAAGAAAATAACAATAGAAGTTATAATATTACTAAAACATTTATAGATTATGCATATTTGACAACAAGTTTAATCCAATAAATGTAAAAATAATTTTGAAACATATATACAAACCCATGTTTATTTTTTTATTTGTTCATAGTAGAGTAAATATACATATTAATTATATTTTTCACAATAATAATGTAAAATACTAAAAAGTAATTTCATAAAAAATAGATAGTATAATATTTAAAATAATAAATATTATATTTATCATTTAATTTTATATGATTCACAATAATAATGTAGAATATACATATTATGTATGGTATTTTTATTTAACAAAAAGAGAAAACACTAACATTAAATAACAACAACAATACTGATATAGATTGAAATATCATTAAAACATGATAAATCACGGTTTTTAATTTCTCATCTTGTGCGTTGTAATTTTTAATTTTATCTTGTGTGTTGTAATTTTTAATTTATCATCGTTTAATACAATATTGTGTGTCGTAATTTTTAAAATTTAATTTTGAATCTATTTATTTCTTCAATTTTATTATGTATATGATTATAACTTTATAATTACTTTATTACATAAAGTCCAAATTGAATTGAAAATAATAGTGTGGTTTAATTTGTAAAGTTGTAAAATATGTGATGTGGGTAGTATTGAAAAATTGTAAAAGTTATGTAAACGAGAATATCTTTTTCGGTTGGAGATGAATTACTGCAAAATGAGATATGTACTGCAAAATGGGTTTGAGTATGATGTATTCGGTTGGAGATGGTCTTACGAGCAACAATGTTGCTGCTTACAACTTAAAACCAGCCAATCATTTTTCTGAAACACAACAGTACTGGCACAATCATTTCCGTACAGGCTCGATCCTAACGAAGAAATTTTGAATTGTCTAGTCCACATTGTGTCCAATTTGGATAAACAGATCTATTCTCTTGAAACATCAATCAAATATATATATATATATAT